TAATCTCACTATTTGAGCACTTTGTTGAAACAAACTATGGCTCATCTGGACTAAGCGTCATCAAAACACTAACCCTAAAGTACTGTCGGAAATAGAAAAAAATTGTTTTTTTCGCATTGATATCTACAATTTATGTAGTTGATATGTGTAAGTGTGAAATATCTGTTAGACTAAGTTCGGCCTAACTAGAGTCTCAGTGGTAGGGAGATAGGAAACGTAAAAGAAGGATTTTACTGAGGAGAGATTAGTGCAGAAATGAGAAATGCGTATTTTTTTCAAAGTCCAAAGCGATTTATTTGGAACAGGCCATGGCTTTATGCAAATTAGTTTGCGATGATATTATATAACAAAGAACAATTTTTAAATGTCCATTTTGAAACTACACATAGCTTCATTATAAACGATAGCTGACGTAAAAAAAGAATAACTTTAATACTGAAACTATTAAGGATGGAAACCATGGAGTCTCACTATCACTATAAAAAGAAACAGGTAGGAGGGGTCGTCTAAAAAGCAAATCCAGGACGGGAGTCACAGACGGTGGTTGGGGTCGGGCTTGGGGATAGAGATATAAGCTGAGATAAGATAATCCTTTAGGGGAATTAAACTGGGGAAGTAAACAGCATGTCATAACAATTTGCAAATAGTATCCAGTCCTGTCGATCTTCTGGTAGTCATGCCACCTATATATTTTGAGACATTTAATACGATGGCTGATTTAAGCTTTTCTATGGGTATCATACTCTTTTTCGTATCTCAACATTAAGTTTATGATCAAAATGATGCAAAGAATCATGTTAAAAGTGTGTCACTATTAAGGACTGCATAGTGCATTTAGCTTGTAGCTTGGTAACGGTGTAAGAATCGAAACGTCGCTCTATGCATTAAGCCAGAAGTTTTCATCCATAACGTTGTATGCTTCATTTTTGCTCGTCTTATGATTCACATTAATCTGTGCTGTACATTTTGGAAGTATCTCTTATTGCAGTTGCAGCGCTTCATGTCATAAGGGCACAGAATGTTTTTGTCGAAACGAAAACATCTTCAGTCACCTTCAAAGTAAAGGCTAGTGGAAACATAGACTTTCACCTGGTTATGTCTCTACCTAACGAGTCACTTTCCTTGGAAAATAATTTCCGTTTTATCACGGCGTGTCAGATTAATGCAGGTCCTCAACCGTTACCTCCTTGGTTCACAGAATAATTTAGAAAATGATGCAAGGAATCTCCCTTATTTAAAAGTGTATCACTATAAAGAATGGATTCCCCACTTGCTCGTCTTATGACTTGAAATTATCTTCATTAATCTGCTGTACATTTGGAACATATCTCATTTTCAGTTTCACCACTTGACGTTAGAAGGGAACAGTATGTTTTTCTCGAAACAAAAACACCGTCAATGACTTTCAAAGTAATGATATGTGGAGACATAACCTTTCACCTGATTTTGTCGCAACCGAACGGAACTCGCGTCCGCTATGCATACATACTGAGAGGATACAAAGGGAAGCGTGCATTCATCAGACGGAGAGGCAAAATCTTAGTTGAAAGGAAACCCGCCTCGTTGAGACATTGTAAACAGTTTCGTCCCTACTGGGCCAGCTGGGAGAAAGGGGTTCTGTCCACTGGAACGGGCTGGACAGTTGGACAGGGTGTCCTGCTGGAGTACAGCACCGAATTCACAGAACTACATCTACTGTGGATATATGTTAAGTTTTGGATGTATAAAGAAACACGTTACAAATTTGGTATGTACAAGGTACCGATGTTTACTGAGCATTAATACTAAATAAGTGTAAAAGGAGAGCGAGTGAGTGTTATGTTGACAATCAACTATTAGTAAAGGTTAGGTCTGGCATTATATGACCAGCGGCCAAAGAACTATCTCCAGTTTCAATTACGATGTACACTCAAACACAATTGTGTCAAAATATGCAGTTAACTCTACAAGTACTTCAGGTTTGACACAAACGCCAAATGACTGTAATGGTACATGTAGGACCAAGCAAATACTTCCAGACAAGCCATAAGTTAAACACAACAAAGTTTGACACAACGATGTTTGGCCTTAAGTAAATGAGAGGGTTTTCATTCATGCACACAACAGGTGGCAATCATTGAAAAAAATGTATATTTTTCAGTAACAAAATTTATACCAGAAAAACTTTGAAGTAATCTGTAATGGAGGCTAACATAATTTGTCAGTATTAATGTACATTTTGACAATAAGTATTCTTATATATGGCATTAACTGCTTTATACCAGTAAGCAATCAAAAAAATTTTTTATGAATGGACGACCTGATTTTAACTCTATTTGGCAGCGATTCATAAACGCATGTTTTGTCATTATAGCGATCCCAGTCACTGGGTTGTCTGGTCTAGAGTGTGTGCGATCCTGTTAATCGCCTCTTACGACAAGCATGTGTTGATGAAGACCTATTTATTTACATAACAGTGAGAGAGTGAGTCAGTATGCAATGTCACATCGGCTATGTTTCAGCCATATCGTGACGAGAACAGTTTTGGCAAAGAATATGTGTAGATTATAAAACCTGTCGTCAAAGGACAGTTAAACAACTAGACTATCACAGTTAGAAGAAGTAAAACTAGTATGTTAAGTTGAAACAAATAGCTTTTTTTGGACAACACAATATAAAAAAAGGCTACAGATTGCCAACAACTGAAGGTTGATCACCATACTAGGGACCATGGGGACTTACAGTACCTTTGCTACCTACATGGACCAAAACTGCATTTACATCCCTCCTTCACATGTTGGTGATTTTTGCATAATGTAGCCATACATTTAAAGAACATATATACTACGATGAAAATCACGGACAATGAAAAATACTGTGAATGAAATGGGACTTACATACCCTCTCCGGGGGACAATAATTTTACGCTACTTCAACTCCCTTTGAAGGTACAGCCACTAACAATCAAAGTTATATATTCATTCTCACAAATTAAATTCATATCCTTTTTCTTTCTTTTTTTTCTTGTTTTTATTCCCAGAATTATGTTTACAGACTTTACCTCAGTAGTACAGTACAGTACAGGTAGCTTCTTAGTATGCAATTACAGTGTTTCTTTGATCTCATTGTCAAATAACCTGCTGTTCACAAATATGTAAAAATGTAAAAACGGTCAAAAACTAAGCATGTATATGAAGTGTTACATGTTTACAGATTTTACCTCAGTAGTACACAGTACAGCACAAATAGTTTCATTGTACACAAGTACAGTGTTTCCTTTGTCACTCACTCTAACATCATGCTGTTCACAAATATGCAAAAATTCATATCCTAATAACATTTACATAAGAAGTAATGCCATAAATACTGTAAAACATTCATGTGTTATCACATGTTATAGCACTGTTTATGGGGAATTCATTTATCAAATGAAGTAGCCTCTGCTATGAATAGGAACTGTTATTTAATGGAAATGTGTGGCAATATATGGCCAGCAAATAGAGAGCTATCTCAAGTTTTAATTACATTCAAACACAAGCGTGTCAAAATATACAGTTAGCTACATGAGTACATCTAGTTAGACGAGGTTAGACACAAACGCCAAATGACTGTAACGGTGTATGCAAGACCAAGCATTTTTTTACTTCCACACAAACCGTAGGCTCAAAACAACAAAGTTTGACACAGTGATGTTTGGCCTTAAGTAGATGAAAGGGTTTTCATCCATGCACACAACAGGAAACAATCACTGAATAAAATATATTTTGTTAGTGACATAATTTATACCAGAAAAAAACTTTGAATTAACCTATAATGGAGGCTAACATAATTTATCAATACTAATGTAAATTTTGAAAAAAAGTCTTCTTATATGTGAGGTGAGGTGAAATTGGGTTTTACGTCGTGCTTGAGAATATTTCGCTCATATATATGACGACGTGCATGCGTGCGTGTGTATGTGTATGTGCGGCTGCTTGTACTAGCCCAGACTGAAGCTGGTTTTATAGTGCTAGCCGACTGAGATACCATGTCGCAGTGAAGCATGAATACCCCAATCAGACACATTATACTGACTCCGAGCCGACCAGTCCTTGTTGTACCCATTAATGCCGACCGCCAGACAAGTACCATATTTTAACGTGTTTTGGTATGACGCGGTCTGGGATCGAACCCGGGCGGACGCTTTAACCACTACACCACGGAGGCGGTCTCTTCTTATATATAGCATTAACTGCTTTATACCAGTAAGCAATCAAATGGTACTTTTTTATGAATGGACGACCGAATTTCATTTCCATTTGACATGTTTTCTGATTGTAGCGAGCCAATCACTTTACGCCGCACCCAGCAATATTCCAACTCTATGTCGGCGATATGTAAATAATCGAGTCTGGACCAAACAATCCAGTGATCAACAGCATGAGAATGAGTATGCGATACAATGGCATGTGTCAAGCAAGTCAGCCAGCCTGACCACGCAATCCCGTCAGTTGTGTCTTACGGCAAGCATGGGTTGATGACGACAAATTCATTTACATGAGAAGAAATACCATAACACTGCACGACACGTGCATGTATTATCGAATGTCATAGCTTTTGATAGGGGATTTCATTAATCACGTGCTATGTCTAATTCCAGATGATCAAAACGCTGCTTTTCTGAGAAGAACACCACGGTTCCGGTACAAGGGCCGAACATCCTCTGTTGTGGTCACTACAAGGTCAAAACTGAGATGTGCCGTGGCCTGCCGAGAAGAACCACGATGTGCAGCCATCAGTTACACACGAGATACACATCAGTGTCAGCTAGTGGGACCATTGAAGAGTGACATTACAGTAGCTTCTGAGGAACTTCTGTTGGTGACACAACGATACTGATGGTAAACATAACGATTCATTTGAACCTCGCGTATCTTCACTCACGTTTTCTAAATATTGTCCGGACAGTAGAAGGTTCGTGTTTCTAAATCCAATGTTAATCCAACGATATATACCTTCGGAAACGAATAAAGGAACATAAGAAAGTACAAGTGTGCCTTTATTCTTTTCCAAGTTTCTTCACACTGTATGTATTGCACTTTGGGTGAAATTCTGGACATAAATAAAGGAACGTTAGTACTTTCATGTGTTCATTGTTCTGTGTTGTGTGTTTGAATCCTATACACGTCTAAGACCGTGGCAGAACAGAACACAATGACCATGACTTCCACGTTACGTTGAGCGTTTACTCAGGTAGTGGGGGTTACAAGCAGGGGTCCACAAGGGACACAACTCTAATCAGCTTGCCGCTACCGTCACATAAGGCTGCAGGAGTTGTCTCCCATACATGTATCTACCATACATGTCAATACACTACAAGCGTTACGGATACCAAATACATGCTATCTTTCAGTAGTTGTCAGTTAATGCTTATCAACAACGAAATCAATTGATATTCCAATCTATCGAGCTGTAACTAGGTTTCAGTGAAACCTGTTATATGCTTAAAGACGTGCACATGTATTGCACGTGATGCTCGCCTTTGATCGCAGAACGTGCATATCTAAACATCAATGCACCATACGCCCGAAGGGTAATATAATAAGACAAACAAACATAATTTTGATATGAATGTAAATGGCTATATGGGTGTAAAATTCACACGTTTTTCTAAATGTATATTCAAACTGTGCATCTATCTCAGACTCAGATTACACGTTTTTCATCGAAAGTGCAAATTACACCAGTGCTCAGCAGCACCAGAAAGTGCACAAACAATTGTTTTAAAAAACATTAGCATGATTACAACAACAGAATCAACAATAATAAACATTAAAAAACATATCATTAAATATTCGTGAATTTACTTGTTGGTTCAGTGTTCGTTTTCTCATGAATTGTTTTAACGAACTGTGAAAAGGAAAACTCAGGAACTGTGTCTTGGTTATCTTCCACAGGACAGGCGGTATTGATTATCACGGTGGACTGTTATCCCATGAAGGGGTTAACTCTGTCTCTGTTCACGTTGATGAGTCTACCGTAGGGGTAGATCCAACCAGGGTGAGACAACTCGTCAAGTTTGGCCATCTGAAAAGGAAAACTTGTTTAGTGTGCATCACTGTTGGAAAGCTTCGCATGAATGTGTCAATATTGTTGAGATGTTTAGCGTCTGTGTACCTGATGTAATTATGAGTTATTATGTTGGTTGGTTAGTTGGTATTTAACGCCGAACTCAGCAGTATTCCAGCTACTTGTCGTCGGTCTGTAAATAATCGAATCTGGACCAGACAATCCAGTGATCAGTAGCATGAGCAGCTATCTATGCTCTTGGGATACGATGACATGTGTCAACCAAGTCAGCAAGTCTGACCACCCGATTCTACCCGGATATTCACGGGTAGATGTATTAGGTGCATCTTCTTCTGATAAGCAAGAGCTTTTCTAGTTAAGCATCGACCCGTAGTATCTGCAGCAGTGTCAGTGATGCACGTTACAGCTGCAGATATTCCATTTGACCAACCTGGACAATATCAAGGCTATCTGCAGCAGTATCAGTGATGCACTTTACAGCTCCAGATATCCCATTTGGCCAACCTGGACAATATCAGGGCTATCTGCAACAGCTGATGCACACAAACGGCGTAGTAACTCAATGAGACTTCTCACCTCCTCCGTAGCAAAAGTACTGTAAGTCGCCATGGACCCTAGTATGGTGATCTACCTTCAGTTGTTTGTGATCTATAGCCCGTTTTTATTTTGTATCGTTTATAGTGTTTTAATTGTACGATAGCGTACTAGTTTCAAGTTTATATCTGTGATGCTGTAGTATTTTTACTGTCCTTCGGTGACAGGTTTTTACGTTCTAAATTTATTGATATTAATATTGATGTAAATTATATTATTCTCATCACGATATGGCTGAAATATTGCCGATGTGACGCTAACTGTTAACTCACGCACTCATTCCCTCACTCACCTCCTCCACAGACAGTTTCCATCCCGTTCCCGCGCCCATGTTGTCTTCGAGATGCGCAAGGGAGGTAACTCCAATCAACACAGCTGGAACGAGGGCCTTCTGCAGTAACCACCGCAGCGCAACTTGACTCACAGATTTCCCTGAAACAACATAAATATATAAGTTAATTTGCTTTAAATGTGAACAATGATGTAGTTTTCATGTATTTCCACCAGGTTAGTTAATTCAATTCAATTCAGTTTATTGTTTTCGCGGCCTCAGGCCCATATACAAATGAACATAATGTCATACATACGATTGGTAATGGAAATTTAACATATTTGGCATTAAAGGTTTAATTTTGTGTTTCATTTGTTCGTATGTAATGGAAAAGGCGTGTTTGCAACATTTACATAAGCTCCACACAGTTCATGGGCCTGGGCCCCAGACAATCCAGTGTTTGCTCAGATACCTGCCGATCACTCTACCCGGAGTTTCAATAACAAGGGAAGTGCGTTGGAAAGTGGTTAAACCTCCCTTTCAAGGTAAAAGCACTCACACATAGCGACATGGATGTACGTGTGTGTCTGTTTTATTCCACTCTGAATCAGCATGCGACAGATTGCCACGGATGTTATAATTATAATAACTCCACGCCGGTCAGTCCATTTCGTGCTTGTGACGTCGAGCGCTCGACAGGAAACACCAAGTACCATATCGTAACATCTTCTTTTTGAGGCGATCTGGAGAATCACTGACGTTCCTTTCTCCATGCAGACACTGTCACACAAGATCACGGAGGCTGTCACACATGTATGTATTATGTAGACTTTTATTACATACGTTACAACCGTGAAGTTCCGGGTTAGAATTGGTCTTCAGCAACCCATGCTTGTCGTAAGAGGCGACTGATGGGATCAGGTGGTCAGGTTCGCTGACATTGTTGGACACATGTCATCGTATCCCGTTTTTGTGGATCGATGCTAAAGTCATCGTATCACAAAATGATATGAAAAATTTCGTTAAGTGTCAATGGAGTATTGTTTTGTTATGAAAGTTTTCCTCACAGTAAAAGCGTTTATCATTGGAATCAGGCAGCATCCCAAGATAACCGCATCATCTAGCCTATATCAGGGCCTAGTGTCCATCCTTATATCCTACATTTCTGTGCTACACACACTGATGACTATAGCAAATGTGGATATTCACATCAGATTACATTTTGTCTGATAGCAATACCCAGCACACTTTCTGAACAAAATCGCCCCGAGAAGATCCGGGTTAGAATTCACCTTCAACCCATTCTTAACGAAAGAGACGACTGATGGGATCGGGTGGTCAGACTCGCTGACTTGGTTGACACATGTCATCGTATCCCATCGATGCTCATGATGTTGATCACTGAATTGTCCGGTCCAGATTTGTTCATAGACCGAAAATTGCTGAGTGCGGCTTTACACAACAAACAAACCTAGGTAGCATACCATATTTGTCAGCAGTCGCCTTCATGTAGTCCAGCAGCTGCCAGTACGGTTCATTGTCATACTGTGTCAAGGATGGGTGGGACTCAATGGATCGGCGTAGGTCTTGGTTTACCCAACCCACTCTACCCTGAGTGGCGCAAGGGGACACCCCTCTCTCGTACTTCCCGGTCAGGAGGCCCCTGAAACGTAATCATCACATAATTCATTACCGTGCCCATATCATTAAGGGGGCGGTGGAGTAGCCTAGTGATTAAAGCGTTCGCTCGTCACATCGAAGTCCCGGAATATTTTCCCCACATGGCTACATTGTGTGAAGCCCACTTCTGGTTTCCCTAGCAGTGATATTGCTAAAAATATTGCTAAAAGCGGAGCAACACTAAATTAACTCACACGAATTCAGATAAGTAGCGTGTTATTACAAAAGTTCCATTTTGAACCGTATTGGAGTGAGTGAGTGGGTTATTATTTAACGTCACATCGGCAATATTTCAGCCATATCGTGACGACAACATATGTGACACTGAAATGGAATAGATGTATATTATAAAAACCTGTCGACGAAGGACAGTAAAACAACTAGAATATCACAATTAGAATTAAAACTAGTGTGGAAAATTAAAACTAATAGCACTATTTGGACAATACAATATAAAACTGGCTATAGATCGCCAACAATTGAAGGTAGATCACCAAACTAGGGACGAACCGTATTAGAAAGAAGTAATCATTGGTTCATGTTACACTGATAAGCCAGTGATATGTTATGCTGCGTTGGTGATGTCACCTTCCAGAAACCTTCTCGTGGATAACAGCCTAAGGTTAATTATCAAAGTAAAATGGAGGTATATAATCCTGGAACATCGAGGATGGAAATATTTGGATCCTTAATATTCTTCAACGAACCATATAAATATTAGTGTCAGATAACTATAAATAGATAATACAATTTTCATGTTTGAACAATAGATATCACCTAGAGTACATACGTATAAAAGATGCAAATCTTTAATATTGTCGGCTATTTCAAAATACTACTGTTTCAGGCATCAAATGAACAGAGTTCCTAAGCTGTTGTGGGTTAAATTTTATTGACAGAATCTAACAAGGGTTGGAAAATCTTTTCACAAACGAGATGTTGATGTAGTTAAATTAAAGTCACACCCTTACCCTTTGAGTGGGCTCCAGGGCAGCACCGCCAGACGTTCGTGTTTACACACTTCGAACACTTCATACTCAGAGGTTCGCGCCAGAAGGTTGTACTGTTGCTGATGAAATATTTGTATTCATAGGATTAACACTCAGTTTGAGATTATCCAAGGTTGCAAGCAATTGAAGCGTCAGTAAAATGTGGAATCTATACACGCCTTTTGTGGACAACCATGACAGGGTTTATCTTTCGAGAAGTTTCGGCATATGATAAGTTATAGCACGTTGACTGCTTACTCGTGTTATCAGTTGTAACAGAGTTTGCCAAAGAACCACAAAATGTTCCTCGTTACCGCCAGACGATTGCTTCGTGTGCCTATTTTGCCAACATGGGACATTTGTTTTAAAATACCACTGATGAAGCTACGAGATAACTCGTAGTGGCAAATTATGTTACAATTGATAACACGAGTACACTCGTGGTAAGCAGTCGACGTGATAGAAAGCAGGATTTGTCTAGAAGATCTGATTTACGTCGTATCTGCACGTCCGTCTGTTTGTGGAAACCAATAAACTTTTCCTTGAAACCCAGTTTTGTGACAAATCATATTGCCTATAAACCTTCAAATTGTTGTTGAAATGTAATGTCTATTTTCAAAGACATTGATTTCACAATTTTTGTTCAGTTCGTCACAATTTGTGAGTTAAACTTTTCGTTTCTCTTTCTAAATCACATATTCCAATGGCTGGGAACGTCATTTTCCTTTTGACGTTCGGGGCGAACATAAGTATGGAGACCCAAAATGGCATTTTAACTTTGTGTTTGTACTATTTTGGTATCTACATCTATTGAAGAGATACCTCTACACAAGTTCTGGTCGTTCAGATGTTAGAAAATTTCTTATTGCGATTGTAGACATCAAAAGTAAGCTTTTTAACCCACTTCATCCTTACACTTGCATGTTGTTACATGTACCAAACATCAAAAGTAAGCTTTTTAACCCACTATATCCTTACACTTGCATGTTGTTGCATGTACCAAACATCAAAAGTAAGCTTTTTAACCCACTTCATCCTTACACTTGCATGTTGTTACATGTAACAAACATCAAAAGTAAGCTTTTTAACCCACTTCATCCTTACACTTGCATGTTGTTACATGTACCAAACATCAAAAGTAAGCTTTTTTAACCCACTTTATCCTTACACGTGTATATTGTTACATGTACCAAACATCAAAAGTAAGCTTTTTTAACCCACTTTATCCTTACACTTGCATGTTGTTACCTGTACCAAACATCAAAAGTAAGCTTTTTTAACCCACTTCATCCTTACACTTGCATGTTGTTGCATGTACCAAACATCAAAAGTAAGCTTTTTTAACCCACTTCATCCTTCCACGTGCATGTTGTTACATGTACCAAACATCAAAAATAAGCTTTTTTAACCCACTTTATCCTTACACTTGCATGTTGTTACCTGTACCAAACATCAAAAGTAAGCTTTTTTAACCCACTTTATCCTTACACTTGCATGTTGTTACCTGTACCAAACATCAAAAGTAAGCTTTTTAACCCACTTTATCCTTACACTTGCATGTTGTTACATGTACCAAACATGCAACAGCTGAATTAAACTAAACTATATCCATTTATACTGTTCACTGCCCTGGGGCATATTATTTTCATGACCATCACATTTACCTGTATAGAGATGAGAGGATTAAGATTGAGATGCTTAGTGGTATCAACGATCTTCTGAAGCTGATATCCTGCCAAGTTGCATGCGCCGAAATATCGCACTTTACCACATCTGACGAGATCGTCCATGGTCCTAAGTGTCTCCTCAATAGGAACAGCACTATCCCACTCGTGCGTCTGAAGAGAAAAGCACGCACATCATGTTGATCATGTCGGTTAGGTTTTTCAACAGCATGATCAACGACACACCGACGCACCGTTAGGATCTCATGGCATTCGTCTGTATCTTCCTCGAGCCTAGCCACTCGATCCACATTTTAGTCAGTTGACGTACACTATGTCGTTACTGGGACAGGTTCAGATCCTAAATCCAGACCTGATTGTTTTCAAATTGTTTGTTTGTTGTTTTACGCCGCACTCAGCAATATTCCAACTATGTGGCGACGGTCTAAATAATCGAGTCTGGACCAGACAATCCAGTGATCAACAGCATAAGCATCGATCTACACAATTCGGATACGATGACAGGTGTCAACCAAGTCGGCGAGCCTGACCACCCGATCCCGTTAGTCGCCTTTTACAACAAGCATGGTTTATCACAGCGCGTGAGATTGTGTTAGAAAGCCAAAAGATTGTGTTAGAGAGCCAAGAATTTACTACTAATGTAAGGAATCTGCTCAAACCTATATAAAAAATGTGTCACTTTGGGAGAGTTGTTCACTAATTGTAACCGGAGAGTGAGTGAGTTAAGTTAAAGATTTTAAGTCACATCGGCAATATTTCAGCCATATCGTGACTAAAGCAAGTTATAAATCTATCAACAATTTAAGTGAAATGATAAAATTCTGCCGACGAAGGACAGTAAAATAACTAGATTATCACAGATATACATGTAAAACTAGTAATTGAATCTAAAACATTTTAACTAGAGGGGACAACACAATATAAAAATGGGCTATAGATCGCTAACAACTGAAGTTAGATCACCATACTAGAGACCATGGGGACTTACAGTACATTTGCTTCCTGCATGGGCCCTAGCTGGATTTACATCATCCCTTCAGCTGTTAGCAATTGAGATAAATCTAGCCATAAATTAAAAGTACACATATTCTACGATTAAAATATGGAAAGTTGAAATTTACTTTGAATGTTTTGGGACTTACGTACCCTCTCGGGAGGACAATAATTTTACAGTACTTTAACCCCCCTCGAGGATACAGCCACTAACAATCTGTGTTACTAATTCGAACTTCCAATCATAAAATATTTATCTATTTACAGATCTGTTAACAAATCTAAGTCTTTTAAAAAGGCAATAACTAAATGAGAACTAACGTTATTAAAAAGATCCTTCAATGTTTTGACATTAAAATACTTATCCCTTGTGATGGAATATTCAATGCAGTCAAGCAAGACATGCTTGACTGTGATTCTTTCATCACAAGGGATACAAAACGGAGGATCTTCGCCTTTCAATAAATATTCATGAGTATATCTGGTATGGCCAATGCGACATCGTCGCATAATGACCTCTTCAAATCTGGACTGACAACCCAAGTAGGTGTAACCAATATAGGGTTTTATTGCATGTAACTTATTAATACCTACTTGGGCGTCCCACTTCTTCTGCATTAGATCACGGATGTAAGTTCTAATGCCAGCTTTATAATCAGAGTATGGAATAAGAAGTGGTGTCACAGATTTGTTGAGTGCTGCCTTGGCAGCAAGATCAGCCATGGTATTCCCAGAAATGCCAACGTGGCTGGGTAACCAACAAAAGACGATGTCGCACTGGCCAGTAGCAAGCTCATTATACAATTCAATAATGTCTAATAAAAGTGGATGTTTACAAGAAATATTTTTAATAGCCTGAAGACATGAAAGGGAATCGGAAAAGATTATGTACTGTTTATGTTTAGGATGTCGTTGAATATATTTAAGAGCCGTTAATATGGCGTTTGCTTCTGCTGTAAATATAGAGCTGTTATCGGGTATTCTAGAAGATATTGTTCTGGATCCCAACGACAGTGGCACATGCCACTGCGCCACCATCCTTGGACCCATCTGTAAATAAGGATTTGTATGTATTATATTTATTTCTTAATTGACTAAATTCTTGTTTATACTGTAATTCATTTGTTTCTGATTTTTTTAAATGTAGTTAATGTTAGGTCAACTTGTGGCCTAACCAATTGCCAAGGAGGAGAAGAAAGAAGACGGGAAGGAGCTATATTTTCCAGCTCAATGCCGGAAGCAGCAATAAATGGCTTAATTCTGAGCCCAAGAGGCGGAACAAGAGAAAGTTTTTTGTTATACAAATCCTCATAAAGGGGATTAAAGACACAGTGAAATGCAGGATTAGTCTCGTTAGAATATAATTTCGTAATATATTGTAAAGATAATTTTATACGGCGTTGGTTAAGAGAAGGTTCATCTGCCTCGACGTAAAGACTGTCAACAGGAGAGGTTCTAAAAGACCCAAGACAAAGTCTTAGGCCTTGGTGCTGGACAGAATCAAGTAGTTTTAGGTTGCTTTTGCAGGCTCCACCATATACGATGGAGCCATAATCGAGTTTCGAGCGGACCAATGAGCGATATAGGTGGAGGAGGGTAGCTTGATCTCCTCCCCACTTTGAGTTTGAAACAACTTTCAACAAATCAAGCGCCTTCAGGCATTTAGCTTTAAGGGATTTAATATGCGGCAAAAAGGTTAAATGAGAGTCAAAGATTAGACCCAAGAACTTGGCCTCCTTCACAACTTTGATGGGAGTGCCATTTAAAGATAGTTCAGGGTCTTTATGCGGCTTATATTTTCTACAAAAGTGTAGACAATTAGTTTTGGACTTGGAAAATTTAAAGCCGTTTTCAAGACACCATTTATTTATTTTATTTAAACATAACTGCAACTGCCGTTCAATGGTATGCATATTTTTACCACGACAAGAAATATTAAAATCATCCACAAAAGCGATCCATCAATTGAATCGTTTAAAACCTTGGATAAACTGTTGATCTTGATACTAAATAAAGTGACAGACAAAATACTGCCTTGAGGGACACCCTGATCCTGATTGTAATGGTCAGACAGGGTTGAACCCACTCGGACTTGAAATTGTCTGTCTTTTAAAACCGTGTGATATAAAAGAGGCAAACGGCCTCTCAAACCAAAGTCATGTAAATCCTTTAAAATGCCATGCTTCCAGGTCGTATCATAAGCTTTCTCAAGATCAAAGAAAATTGAGACAGCATGTTGTTTATTTACTATAGCATTCTTAACAAAGGATTCTAATCGTACCAAATGATCAATGGTACTACGATTTTTCCTGAAACCACATTGAATATCTGTTATAAGGTTATTGGTTTCAAGATACCAAGTTAATCTGTTATTCACCATACGTTCCATGGTTTTACAAACACAGCTAGTTAGAGAGATTGGTCTGTAATTAGACGGATCGGTATGATCCTTGCCAGGTTTTGGTATTGGGACTACAATGGCATTACGCCATGAAGCGGGAAATTCTCCAGACGTCCATATTTTGTCAAAGATATCTAAAAGTGTCATCAGACACGGTTCCGGTAAGTGTTTCAGTAGCTGGTAATGTATATTGTCATCACCCGCTGCAGTGTCATGAGCTTGCTCAAGAGCAGTATGTAGCTCATGTAATGAAAACACTTCATTATAATCCTCACCGTTTTGCGAGTCAAAATTAAGTTTCGTCTTTTCCCGTTGTTTCTGATATCTCTGAAACTCAGGGACATAATTTGCCGATGATGAATTTTTGGCAAGAGTTTCGCCAATTTTATTTGCAATGTTGCATTTGTCAGTTATTAAATTGTCACCATCTTTAAGATGATGAACAGCAGATTTGGAACCTTTGCCTTTTATTCTCTGAACCATGTTCCACACCTTAGACATTGGCGTGCGTGAATTAATATTGGAGACATATTTCCTCCAAGATTGTCGTTTGTTTTGTTTGAAGGTACGACGTGCCTTTGCATTGAGTATTTTGAATTTATTTAAATTATGGACCGTTGGATGGTGGCGGAAATAATGTTCTGCCTTCTTCCTCGCCTTTCTGGCTTGTCTACAGTCTGTATTAAACCATGGTTTCCGTACATGTGGAGTTGTAGAGGATTTCGGTATACACTCATCAGCTATTTCATTTAAAACGTCAGCAAAAATCTGAATGGGATCAGTTATATCACTGAAACCTTCAGGTCGCAATTTAGATTTACATAAAGTTTGATATAAAGACCAGTTCGCCTTCGAAAAGTTCCATCTTGTATACGATGGAGAATCAGATGGAGTTATTTCTGAAAGTATAGTTGGGAAGTGGTCACTTCCACAAAGGTCATTATGAACAGACCAATCAAATTCATTCAGGAGGGTGGAATCTGCAAGAGACAAATCTAGAGAAGAATAAGTGCCAGTTGCAGGATGCAGATAGGTGCTTGAATCATCATTAAATATGCACAGGTCATTATTGGAAATGAAATCTTCAATTATTTTGCCTTTAGTATTAGTGTTAGTACTGCCCCAGAGTGGGTTGTGACCGTTTAGGTCACCCATAATAACACATGGCTTTGGGAGTTGATCATAGAGTGATTGAAGATCAGTCAGCTGAAGGTTCGATGAAGGCGGAATATACAGAGAGCATAACGTAAATGCTACACCCAGAGTAAGTCGCACTGCAACAGCTTGGAGAGTAGTATTAACAGTAACAGGGCTGTGAATAACATTCTGTCGTATAAGGATAGTAGAACCTCCAGTGGCTCTATCCCCTGGAGGGGAAAAATAATTATAGGCTTCAAACTGACGTAAGTTAAAATTATCTGTCTGTTTCAGATATGTCTCTTGCAGACAGAACGCTGATGGTGTTAAATCTTGGACAATTAGCTGTATTTCATTAAAATTTGTCCGGAGTCCTCTACAGTTCCACTGCACGATATTGGTAGATAGACCTATCTTTTAGGGGGATTAATTGGGGATCTACCCCCGCACCGTTTTCGAGGGCGACAAGCTATGTGCCCTAGAATGGACGTTTTCGGACACGTCCATGTCCTCCAGTGATCCGTATTTGTTATACAATTTGACTTTATCATCGGAACCTTTTGGGGCTCTGCCACTTTGTTTTTTTTCAAAGAATCTTGCTTCGGTTTGCCTTTGCTTTTGACGATTGGTG